TATATATATATATATATATATATATATATGTGTATTTATTAGTATATATTTATTGGTGTCATAATAAATAATAAAATATGACAGTAAAATTTCTTAAATTAAAGAGTTATTTAGCAAAATTCAAAGAAATAAATATTTGAAAACTGTCGTTTTTTATTGTGAAGTTTCATCCTTTTTTTAAACCATCATGGTTATAATATATAATACAATTTAATGATAAATAAATTGCAAAAATTAAAGACTTATTTTGCAAAATTTGAAAAAAATAATTTATTGTAGTGTAACTCTTCAAGGTCATAATATATAATATTTTTTAATGATAGGAAATTACCTAAAAAAATGGATTTTCAAAATGTGCAGAAATAAATATTTGAAAACCTTTTTCCCAGTAACTTTTCATTCATTTTTTTTTTAACTCCTCAAGGTCAGATGCAGATTCAAACACTCACCGGCAAGGTTGCAAACCGCTAACACAAGCGCAGAGCTTGGTAAGATTCATTTGATGATTTATCAGCAATGAACAAAATGCTGATTCATGTTTTGTTGGATTGTTAACAGGATTTCTCAAACTGCTTTTCTTTCCAACTTTCAGATTAAAGCGAAAGATAACTGCTATTTCACAGTCAGGTGCTTTGACGACACTGTTCACCATTTCAAAGTGTCACAGAAGAACGACCCCGAATCCACCAGAAAAGTGAGATTCCTTTCAGCTCTGTTGTTAGATTAGACTGGAGTGCGTTACGTATGTTTGTGTGAATGTGTGTTCTTTTTCAGAGGTGGCTGGAGGCCATAGAGGAGCATTCAGCCTTTAGCACTCATTACTGCTCACAGGACCCAGACAGCGAGGAAGAGGAAGACAACGTTGTGTCTGTACATGAGATTTCTGACTCCCTTCAGGTGAGAAATCACATCCGCAACTTAATTTGATGAAATCGTTTCTTGACAATCACATCAGCTGATAGAATGCACATGGCCGCCCTTTCTTCCTCTTCTACGAGGATACATAGCTG